TTCGCAGTCCATCCCAGTTCTCAACGTGGACGGCAGCCCGAACCAAGCGGGTGGCATCACCGGTGTAGTCAATATTGTGGTCGACTACAAGGGGCACTCCGAGCGTATCCAGCTCGCCGTAACTGGGCTTGGGAAACAGCATGTCATCCTCAGTTACTCCTGGCTCCAGAAACACAATCCGGAGATCAACTGGGAGACCAAGGAGGTTCGTATGACGCGCTGTCCGACCGGATGCCGCACCTGCCGGGAGGAGCTACGGGCTGTCTGGAAGAACAAGAAGCTCGCCGCCTCAATTCTCCGGCAGCTACGTGAAGGTCCGACCCCATCCATCTGCGCCGTTGACTCGGAAGAGTGGACCGGAGACAATGGGTACGACCCGGCCGACAACAATGACCTCCCGGACCTCACTCTGGACTCGGAAGACGATGACGATGACGACAGCGAGCTCGAGGAGGGCGATCACATCCTCTACACCGTGTTCGCCCCAGCCGAAGAGATCCGCACGGGAAGCACTGTCTCGACCTCGCCCGTCACCGTGAAATTGTCCGAGAAGTGCTCCGCCGGCTCAGGGAACACCACCTTTTCCTTCGGCCGGAGAAGAGTGAGTTCGAGAAGTCCATGATCGAGTACCTCGGCGTCATCATCTCACACAACCACGTTGAGATGGACCCCGTCAAGGTCGCCGGCGTCGCCGCCTGGCCCGAGCCCGAGAACAAGAAGGACCTGCAGCAGTTCCTCGGCTTCACAAACTTCTACCAGAGGTTTATCCGGGCGTTCTTGGACATCGCCTGGCCGCTTTTCGACCTGACAAAGAAGGGTGTGGCCTGGACCTGGACTGCTGCCTCGGCCGCTGCGTTCCAAGCCCTCAAGGACGCGGTGACCGCGGAGCCCGTCTTGGTCCTCCTGGACGAATCTTGGCCATACCGGTTAGAAGTGGACAGTTCGGATCGGGCAACTGGAGCCATTCTGTCGCAACAGGATGCGGATGGAAAGTGGCATCCTGTCACCTTCTACTCCAAGAGCTTGAACGATGTCCAACGGAACTACGTGATCCACGACAAGGAGATGCTTGCGATCGTCCGAGCCCTAGAGGAGTGGCGGCACGTCCTCGAAGGCGCGCAGCACCCGGTCAAGATCTGGACGGACCACAAGAACTTGGAGTACTTCCAGAAGTTGCAGAATCTGAACCGGCGGCAGGCCAGGTGGTCCCTGTACCTGTCCCGGTTCGATTTCGCCCTGTTCCACCAGCCGGGTTGCCTCATGGGTCGCCCGGATGCGCTCTCCCGCTGCCCGGACCATGGCGCCGGATCTGAGAACTTGGACGTTACGCTTCTTCAGCCGGAGCTTTTCCGGATCTGGGCGATGGAGGGGATCATGGTTGACGGACCCGAAATCCCCCTCTGATGTCTGGAAGGCGTTTGCGACCGAGCCGGAACTCGAGGACCCTGTTGCACTTGTCGCCAGGGAGCTTCTCAAGAACCGGAAGGCCTCTTCTCCCCACTCGGCCGAATGGCAGATCTCGGACGGATCGCTCCTGTTTCGCGGTGCCACGGAATAAGGACCTTCGCCGGTGGATTATGGAGCAGCACCACGACATGCGGGTTGCTGGGCACGCTGGCCGCTTCAAAATGTTGGAGTTAATCTCCCGGAACTACTGGTGGCCCCAGTTGTCCCGACACGTCGGTCAGTACGTTGGAACCTGTGACGCATGTAACTGGACGAAGGCGCTTCGACGACTTCCCCACGGTGAGCTCCATCCAACCGAGATTCCGGCCGAGCGCTGGGACACCGTCTCGGTGGACTTCATAGTCGAGCTTCCGGAGCCGCACGGGTTCGACGCGGGTCATGGTTGTTGTCGACATCCTTGGTAAGCAGGCCCACTTCAACGAGTGCCACACCAGCCTCGGAGCAGTTGGAGCTGCCCGGTTATACTACCAGAACGTGTGGAGGCACCACGGAACCCCCCAGAAGTACATCTCCGACCGGGGTCCACAGTTCATCGGTGAGTTCACCCGAGAACTGTGGCGCCTCATTGGTATTGAACCCGCTACCTCCACCGCTTACCACCCGCAGACCAATGGCCAGACCAAGCGCGTCAACCAGGAGCTCGAACAGTTCGTCCGTATCTTCACGAGCTACAAACAGGACGACTGGGATGAGCTCCTACCGGCGGCCGAATTCGCCTACAACAACCATGTCCACTCCTCGACGCAGCAGGTGCCGTTTATGACAGACACCGGCCGGCTCCCTCGGATGGGTTTTGAGCCTAATGGCATGCACTCGGCCGACGAATCGGTTAACGAGTTCCGCGACCGGATCGCTGCTGGAGTGTCTGAAGCCAAGTCCACGCTCGTCAAAGCCAAAGACGAGTTCAAGCTGTACTACGATCACCGGCGCGTACCCGTGCCGGAGATCAAGGTAGGTGACCGAGTTTGGGTGGATGCGTCCGAAATCAAAATGACGCGCCTGTCTCCCAAGTTCTCGGACAAGCGGCTCGGACCCTTCAAGGTCGTACAGGTTGTGGGAAAAGGCACATACAAGCTCGAGCTCCCCCCACACTACTCCCAGCTCCACCTGGTCTTCCCGGTGGTGAAACTCGAGCTTGCGAAGCTGGACCCGTTCCCCGGACGCCCCCGGAACGACGAGCCCCTGCCTATCCTCCGGACGGATGGAGACGAGAGGTGGGAGGTCGACGAGATCCTCGAAGCACGGGTCCGGTACGGCAGCCTCTGGTACATGGTGCGCTGGAAAGGTTATGGTCCGGAGCACAATAAGTGGGTAAAGCACTCTGACGTCTTCGCCAAAGACGCCATCAATGCCTACTACCGCTGCTACCCCAACGCTCCTCGCCGGATAGCCTCGGCCGCTTTCGACTCACTGTCCTTCCGGAGGCGTGATAGGACCATCCGCTTTATACGTCGGGACAATGTATTCCAAGGGCGGGGTGATGTCAGGGGAACCCCCGCTTCGGACGGTTTTCCATCTGGACCCGATCCGGATGCTTCAGGCGCTTCGGACACTTCTCCATCCGGACTGGCTCCAGATACTTCAGATGGTTTTCCGCCCGGCGCTCCGGATACTTCTGCGCCCTTCTATCCGACCGCCAAATCACCCGGGACATCTGTCCGCTCTTGCTGGCACGTGCTGTGCAATCAGGCCCGCGATCATTGTAGATACATCCGGACACGTGCTACTGGGTAGTTACCAATTAGTATATAAGGTTTTGCCTAGCATAGGAATCCTCATCCTTTCTTCTCTTCGGATTCCCCTGCTAGGTGCGTAGTATTTCCGCTCCTGTATTCTAATACCTATATTTACACTTCGGATTCCCCTGCTAGTTTCCGCGCCCCGCGCCGAGCTTAAGGTTGCCCTTACAATGATATTTGGTTGCTGTTCTGTAAGTATCTTGGTAGTTTGCGAGGTATGAAAGAACTTGAATTCGGTTGTTCATCGGGTTTTGGATTTCTGGACATGCAGGTGTTGGGCAGGGAGGGGGGTTTATTTGTGAGAAGTTAAACGGGAGGAACAGGCGAAAAGGGTGATTGACAATTGTATTGACGAGGATGAATGTACATACAACACATTAGAATATGGGGTCGACCCGGCCCAAGACTCGGCCTCGTCAGAAGCGCTCGGCTCGGAGGTGAGAAATAGTAGTTGTGAGATAGGTACCACGCCCCATCCATGACATGCTTTGCACAGGTTACCAAAAACCTTCAGTGAAAGCAGCAATAGTCATGAGGATGAGTCCAATGACATTCATGGTTGAAAAAGGGTGTACAGACCTGGTGGTGTATGGTAACACAACTGCTTATGTTTGCATTACCATCTCTTCAAAGAGACCCCCGTTCGAACCGGGGCCAGGTCGTGTGAGTTCTCTGCTCTGGTTTTTTTCTGTCTTATGGGTGGCTGTATGTATGTCCTCAACCCCAGACTCCAGAGTTTGTTCGATCCTTGAATTTTCTGGGTTCAAGTCTTTTCAAACGAACCCAGGAATTAGACTCGGCCTCGTCAGGAAGCCTTGGCTCGAAGGCGCAGAGTAGCAGTTGGGTACCACACCCCACCCATGATGTGCTTTGCACGGGTTACTGAGAAGCTCGGTCAAAGCAGCCTTGACAACAGTCGTACAGATTGAGTCTGATGATATTCGTGGTTGAACAAGGGTATACAGGCCTGGTGGTACGGCAACACACCTGCTCTAGCTTCATCAACTTTTCTTCAAGTAGGCAGGAGACCCCTGTTCGAACGGGGCCAGGTCATGATGCCATGTTCCCGTTTTGCTTCTTGCGGGTATGCAGAGAGTTGGAATAAGTAGTAGTACTAGTATTCGATGATGCTTACTACTTAGTTCGGATTTCTGTATGTTTTATTCCCCTACCTTCAGGTAAGGTATGGTTCTAACTTCTAGGGCGCCTAATCAATTGACTTTGGGCGGGCCATCACATTTTTCGTCACTCTTTTCGCGTAAGTAAGGGTTCATCAAAAGTCCTGCTGCCGAAACTGTGCCGCTGATTGTTATCAGGACTCTCATAATCACGGTTGGTCATTCAGACATCAGGTTGCAACCTTGCGTGCACAACCTTTGGAGAACTCACAATTATGCTTGAAGATTGAAAGGTGTGGTCAAGTTATACACTTCTTGTTTGAGAAATTTTGCGAAATAACGGTGTGCTGAAAAATGTGATTTACATGACTCGTTCAAGTTGGTTAAGGCCAGCCCAATACGAGCCGGTCGACGCGATAGCAAGTGACAACCTGAGTTTATCCATTCACTTTCTGATTATGAAAGGACTCAATTTCGGCCTCAGACTGCTTGCGGCCCAATGCGAGCTGGTCGGCGCTGAGCGAGCTTCAGGCTGCCCATTTCGCTGCTGAAATCATCCGGTAGCAGGCCCTGCCATTTGTCGGCCTTAGCAGCTTTATTTCAGTTCATTTCGGTGGGTCTATCTGAGCACACAAATGGCATCCATGTTTGAACGAGGTACTTATATAGGTATGTAGACCTGGTGGTGTAAGGCAACACACCTGCGTTACTTGATCACCGGGTCCACATTGTGCAGGAGACCCCCGTTCGAATCGGGGCCAGGTCGTGCATTTTCTTTCGCCTCTTTTTTCTGTCTTATGGGCATTGGGGTGGCTGTGTGTCCTCGCCTGGATGTTTCGACGGAGACGCGGTGAACAGATTTTGTGTCTGTCGAAAGGATTGTATTGAGAGCACGAATTAAATATATACAAGCGGTCGAGTCATCTGAACGGACGACTGCGAAAGGGAAAGGCTCCGAGTCGGAGCGAGTGCGGACTCGGAATTTAATGACGAGATAGGTGTGTACGTACCAGGCCAAGCGCGAGGTTGGAGTTGATTTCGACGATAGCATTAATATTGCAGCTGCATATCGAAATCTAGGATTCGAGCCTTGGAGGCTGACCAGGTTAGCTGATGGGCATCTGGAAGCGCGCGTTGGGCACGAGAGCAGAGGCGTCAGGATCGAGGGTGCGTCTTGCGTGGCGTAGTAGCATGTGGCGAATCTCGAGCCCAACAGGGCTGGTCACGTCGACGTCAGAATTGAGGGTGTTTGATAGCTTGAACGAGTAGGAATGAGGCCGTTGTAACTGCTCTTATCTTTGCCCCTGAGCGGGGAGCAGTGAGCAAGGATGCTGGTGCGGGAGAGTTCGCACGCCGACGGGATTGAGGGTGCGAGAATAACCTGAGTTGGGAGCCACTGCCAAGTCAGAGGAGTTCATTTCGAAGCCAACTGAGGCCGACACGAGATAGAGCGATAGCCCGAAGAGCACGGCGTCTTGACAATGATAGTCCTCACCGACGTCGATGCAGTGGAGCTCAGCACCACATGGAGATTGCCGAATGAGGGTGCAGAATAGAAAGATGGGCGGGCGGAGCTTGAGCGAGTCACGATCGTCGACATCTTGCACCCGTACCACCACAAGCAACAAATCTACAGAATCAGCGCAAAGAAAGAAAGAAATTTCACCACACAGAACACAGAACACATGTCTCCATCGGCTACCACTACTACGGCGCCCGCCACCAATGGGAACAGCGCGATAAAGGCCAAGAACGGCGTCAATGGCAGCGCAACAGCAGCGCCAACGGGACGCATACAAACGGCAATGGTGTCGCGAGGAACGGAAAGGAAGCCCACCTCAGCTCAACGGAGCTCATCCGCCTCGAGAACGAGCACGGCGCACACAAGTGAGTACCCTGCCCCTCCACTAGGTGGCGAACGAACATCTTGCCTTCCAGTCGACTTGGTCCTGGCCGTGCCTGCTTCCCGCCTCTTGCTTCCTTCCTCCTTGGTCCTGCGTAGCTCTCGCCAGTCAACTTGGTCTGCATAGGGAGCGCCAAACGCACCTCATCACAAGCACATCTCGTTCCGTCCTTCATCTCCCCTCTTTTATAACACCCATACTGATTGCGCGCTTTTGCTAGCTACCACCCCCTCCCGTGGTCTTTGACTGTGCGCTCGGAGCAAAGTGCGTGTTTTCGCCCCTCCTTTTGAGATGTACGAGAAGAGAACTGACGACACTACGCAGGGTATGGGACCCTGAAGGGAGGGAGTACAATATGCTTTCGGTTGTATTCGTACGTGCCTCTTTTTGCTTTCTCTTATTCCCGCTACCTTCAGGTAAGGGTTTTAGGGCGCCCTATTTTAAACTGCCTGGTGAAGATCACATTTTCATTACAAGGACAAACAAAATTTTGTCATGTTGAATGTGTCATGCTTCGAAAACACAGCAATAGAGAGTTGTTCAAACAGCATTTCAACTCCCACTCAGAGCCATTTATCATCTGTTTCCTGGCTGTTTTTCTGATGTTTTTTGGTTCAAATACAGATTGTCAGTGTCCAAATCCAATGCAATGAATTTGTCATTTTTGTTTCGTAGTTCAACCCTGCCGCACGCGGCAGTTGCCATGTGAACACCACATTTGTACAGCAGTTATTGTGTCAGCTTCGGTTCTGTCTGCCAAAACCTGAGTCCAGACCCTTCGCTAATCATTTGTGTCTCATAACCCACGGGCAGCGAACGCCGAACGGCGTGGCATTGACATGGCCCCTCTCTCTGTCTCATACCTTCACCATGCCCTCTGCGGCATTCTGCAATAAACCACTCTCCACCTCTGTCAATTTTCTTTCTGAAAATATTGGGGTGACTCTTAACTGGATCTTGTCGAATGCAATTCAGGCTCCTTATTCACTTACTTCCAGTCTTCTGACTCTTCCTTCTGGCGGACACCGTCTACTTTATGCAAATTGATCTTTTGGCCCTACTCAGAGCTCCCATACGACTGTTTTCTTGGCTGAGATTGATTATTCTTTTGCCACCAGACCCTTCTACATGAATCTCTTACTCTTTCTTCTGGTGTTGTTGACCCCTGGAAACCCACGAGTACTTGTTTTCAATTCGATGATGCACAACTTCTGGCATGCTTCATAGCACTTTCCCCCCATGCTCTCACCTCCCCATCATGGACATCAATACCCCGGTCAGCCGGGCGATGCATCTGAGAGTAAGTCATATTAAGATCTAGACTGAAATTTATTCTACAGCTCTGCACTGTCATTGCATCTGTAATGAGCCTTTGACGAGCCACTGTCTCTCTACCTCTGCCTCAATACTTTATGATGTATCCATACCTGCAATGACTTCTTTGAATATAATCTGTGATATTTTTTCAGTCATCTTGTAACACATGCCCATGTCTCTGTTTGGTGTGTCCGTGTTTCCTGTCCAGACTGTTCTGTGGGCCATGATTTCTCTCAAAATTTCGAATTAGGGCAGACATGTCCAAAACTGTTCTGAACTTGCTGATAAGCACTTATTGACAGAAGTCTTTTGCATATTGCTGGTGCCCTGAATTTCTGTATTTGGTGTTCGCAATGCTTGTGTCAAGTTACAACCTACGATACGGAAGCATACTACAACCATCAACAAGGCCAGCCCTGAGTTTCGCTCTTCTTCATCTATGGTTGAATTTTTCAACTCCTTTGAAAGTCTTAAAAAATGTGTTCTTCTTTCCTTTGCTGCCCTGCATTGCATAGAAGTTCCAGAAAGAGTTATGATTGACTCCCTATGTACACCGATCACACAACATTCCGGGTACCGTTAGGTAAAGGGCTTTACACTCCTGATGACAAAAATATAGTCTTGGTAGCTTTTTTCGCGGAACGAACCCACAACTCACACACGCAAGCCGTTTTGCGTGATGTCAATTCAAATCCTGGTTGCCTTTCATGAAAACCATGCGGACAGTAGGCGTATTAGGCTCAAGTTCTCTCGGAAGTAAAGCCTGCGGTGGGCGGGTGACAATTGTTCCTTGACATTCGAGCCGCACGGGGATCTGTGAGGAGCAAGTGGGGCAGTATACATACATAGCTGCCATTATTCGGGGGGTTTGGCGCTAGGCGGGGGCGAGGAGGCTCAGCACTGGTGAGGCGGGATGGAGGTGGGAGGAAAGCCGGATGTTACGATCACGGCAGATCAGAATGTTACTGGGAACGTTATGCCTGTTACCGCCAGTCTACCAGGTATACGAGAGTCTACGGTGTATACGCAGCTCGCAAAGTATACGGAGTCTCTGAGAGTATCTGGAAGTATACGAGAGTATACAAAATATATTGAGTCTCTCATATACTTACATATACTTCCGGATTCACGTATGTTCTCACATCATACCTCGGGCAGACTCGGACACGGGACGAGCTGTATCCCCGGCTTGATACCGGCATGCTCCAAACACGACCACCTTCAAGCTCAACCAACTACAAGTATCCCTGTGTCCGAGCTCTCTCACTTACAGGTAGATCACTTCAACAAATGTCAAGCAACTTTCACATAAATTGTAGGACATCGAGTTGAACTTGGGGGCAACGATCCGGGTCACCAACCACTATGTACTTTTTGGTTATACTATGAAATGGACTCTGTGAAAGAGTAATAATAAATGTGAACAGATGGGAGGAATTATTATTAACGAGGCACGGAAGCAAGACGAGACCCAACATGACAAGACAATCTGTCAAACAACATGAGCCATTTACGGGAACGTGAATGTGCCTTAGCCACGAACAAGATACGAGGTACGTATTGTTGAAGTGTCTGTCGCCCAGAGACTGCTGACAAGACAATATGGTGACCGGTCGGACGAGACAAGACCCACCGAGACCGAACCCCACAGAATAAAAGTTTGTGGTGGTGAATCAAGACGAGAACCGACACGACAACCAAGACACAGCTGGAAGGTTCACGGGACAAGAAACTGCCATACACTAGACCCGGGGCAGTGAGACAACATGTGGACGAGACGAGACAAGATACTGCACCCGCAAAGCGAAACGAGAGCCACGACAACAAAAGGAGCTGCTGACGAGACACGGCTGCGAGGTTGGTGAGAGTCTGAGATGAGATGAGGGGCAGTGGTCTAAATGACTTCTTTTCGTAAATACAGACTTTGCAGAAAGAACATTCGTGCTAGCACAATGACCCGTGAATTTTATTCACGGGTGACGCCTAGTGTGCTATATTAATAAATTGGTAGCGGGCTCTGCCGCTCGTCGGCCTTACCCGCTTTATATATCTAGCTACGCCCGCTCGAGCCAATCATAACAGCGTGATGACCTTGCGCTCCCATCTACTACTTCGCCGGCGGGACTGCGCTTTCATCTCGGCACCGCGCGATTGCCCCCCTCCCGCCCTCTCTTCACCCTCCTCCTCTCCCATCTTCCCCTTCCCCTTCCCCTCCCCTCCCCTCCCCTCCTTCTCCTTTCCCCTCACATACCATATACTAACCCCCTCCCCTCCCAGCGCCGTAAACCAAGGCCACTGCCACCCGCGCATCGTCGCCGCCCTCGTCGCGCAGGCACAGAAGCTCACCCTCAGCTCGCGCGCGTTCCACAATAGCGTCTTTGGGCGGTTTGCGGAGCGGGTGGGGAGCGTGTTTGGGTGGGAGATGGTGAGTGGCGTTTTTTTGGGCCGCTTTCCTTTTACAATGGTGGAAAGACAATACTGACGACGCCGCGCACAGGTCCTCCCGATGAACACGGGCGCCGAGGCGGCCGAGAGCGCGCTCAAG